CCTCCTCCTCTAGAGGGCGGTATCGTAGACTTCCTGCTGTAGGATGGAGACTGGGCCTGGACCTGGGACCAGGTTGGAGGTAAATGCAGGGGGGTGTGGATGATCCCACACGGGTTCTCTTAAGGAAGGAGGTATGGAGGGTAAAGTGGGGGCTGAGACCAGGGGGCTCTGGCCTCTCAGCTGCTCTCTGACTTCCTGCTCCAGACTGGGAGGCACGATGAGCTGATCCTCGGGGTCCTGCTGTGCCGGCGCATTGAAGTAGCCAGATTTCTTCTTTGGAGCCTCAAGGGCCACCTCAATGAGATTATGACTGTCCTCAGGGGCCACCACAGAGCCATTGGACAGCTTCTTCCCAAACAGGCTGGAGGTAGAAGGAGACTTTTTGAGGTCTGCGATCTCTCTCCCACACACTGCCAGCAGGCAGCCGTTTGTAGCAGAAACCACAACGCTGTTCTGTCTGCGCGTTTTACCGTTAGGATAGTCAGAGCTCGGCTTTTCAAGGTTGAAGTCTTTGGAGCGTAGTTGGAAAGCACAGCAGTGAATGTCTACCTCCACCTCCAGCTTGCTGCCATTAGAAATGACCCCCTCCATTGGAGCTTCGTCATCGCTGTCCAAGCCGTTGTCGGAGTGGTTGCTAGAGAACGTGGCACAGGAGGGCTGCCGCTGGAACAAGTGGGTTCCCGCCCCGACGGGGCCTGGCACCATGATCCCACACAGGGTGGTGGCAGGGTGCAGGCTGCAGCGTCTCTCTGGGCGGGGTGCAGGGCCAGGGGGCGGGTGCTCGTCTGAAGCTGTGGACCCCGCCTCGCTGCCCACCTCTGAGGCTGATGTCTCACTGTTGAACTCCGAGATCAGACCGGTGCTGGAGGAAATGGCGGCTGGGTCAGTGGGACCTGGGGTCACGGTCACAGGCACAGAGGTGGGAGGGGGGCCCCGTGCTTCAGCAGTCATAACGGGTGGCTTACAGGTGCAGTTGTCCTGACTGATGTGCAGGGATATTACTGCAGCCCCTATGTTGTCTTTGCAGCCATAGCTCTGAGCGAGTGAGCACAGCTTCTTGGCAGCAGCGCGAGGATCCCGCACAGCCTGTACCGTGCACACGGCCTCCTGGTAGGACACTCGTTCAAACAGCGCTCGATTCCCCAGGATCAAGAACTCATCCCGGGAACAGAGAGGCTCAGTGTGCACCCAGGGCTTCGGGACCACCCAGGGAGACAGATAAGAGCAGCCCAGCAGCCGAGAGCAGCATGTCACTCCACTCACTTTGTTATCCTATAAGACAGAAGGGCCGTTAGAGTTGGATTTGAGTGTATAGCTTCCGGAAATATAAAACTCTGAATATGGGTGATGAGACGATAAAGATTTTTATCAAAGATCTATGGAATGAATTACAATGACTTACATGAATGTCCTTGCAGTTACTTAAAAGGCTGTCTAGGTCGCTTAAATGGTAAGTTAAAAATAGAGCATGATTAAAATAAACAAAAATAATAAGGTCAGAAAAAAGAGAATGAATAAATGTTCCTAATTATTTTATTCATTTATCCTTTTTTATAATATATATACATACTATGGTCAAGTATGTTTTAGTGAGATTTCAAACGTTTTAAGCATAATTTGATGATTATTGGGATGATGGTAGCAATCATTTTGGCCACTATAACCCTTACATACAATTTCCATCAAGTCCCATGCCTGATGCACGTTAACACTAGATAATACATTCTACATTATGGCTTTAGCTTGAAAGCAGAAACCAACATACTTAGAATCTGTGCGTTACCTCGGTTATAATGGCTTTACTGAGTTTGACTCTCTCCATCTCCTCCGTGCAGTTCTCCAGACTGTAAACCTTAGAGAGAGGAACAGGCTGGCCGTCCCGGCACAGCACGGCCTGGCAGGAGCCCACATTGGCCACGGTGAGGCTGAAGTGGCCCCCTGGATCTGAAGGCTCGTGGTGAATGTAACACAGCAACGCAGAGGCACCCAGTTTCTGGCCAGCCATTCCTAGTTTCCTGTCCAATACAAAAACAAACAAAGCTGCTGATAAAACTCTGTTGAAGACTACAAACAAATCAGTAGTAGTACAAGTATCTCTCTCTCTATTTACATTAATAGAGAATAATGACATTAAATAATCTGTCTTACCTGTGTGAGGTGATGAAAGTGTTGCACATATACACATTGTCTATAATTGAGTGCTGCAGTTCCTCGCACAGCACATCTCCCATGGTGCACTGCAGCAGCCGAGGCACTTCCTCATTACGGTCTCCGTCAAAGATGCCGTAGCACGCTTCCACACCGTCTCCAAAGCGGTCTACAGCCAGCACAGACACACACAGCCTGCCCCACACAGAAGATCCACGTCAACAAACAGATGACTCAGCACCTCCCATACAGAGGGAAGCCTCATACATACTTCAGCATGCCACACCGCAGCTCTGTGTCAAAGGGTGACAGCCGATAAGAGACACTGCTGTGGGGGCCCCTGTGGTGGCCGTGATCCTGGGAGACAGGCACACCTGACTCTACACACTGATGCACTTTACAGATGGTAAATGAACTGAACTCAGGCTCTGCTGAACCAGCTATTCTGCCCTGATGTGAGTGCTAGGTGTGAGACAACGATTCAGATTGTGACTCACTGGGAGACACCTGTTTACTAGTGAGTCATGTGCATACAGACAGATATTACAACATTATATCTAATGCTACAAAATCAGGTTTTAAAAACGATTAAATACTTTACAGCCGAGGACACCAAGTAAAGCTGGCTACTTTATTTAAACTAAAAGATACTGAATGGTAATACAAATATTTGTTTTAAATAATAACTACTCATGCAGCAATTTAATTTATTATAAATGAGGCTTTGGATAGATACTGTCAGCAGTTGAGGACATTTTTGTTATTTATATTTACAAACAAACACACAGAAAAACAAAGCGGTACTCACTTGTTTCTTTGGCCACTCATTTCAGAGAAGCCGTGGTTCCATGGAGTGGAGGTACTCTGCGAGTCTGCTGCTGCTGTGGTGGATTTCTGGTCTAATTTCAGGGTGGTGATGTGACTATGAAGGAGAAGAAATGTACTCAAAGAGATATATATTTCACACATGCATGCTGTCCTATCCCACCAGTTTGAGTCTAGACAGCTCCAGAATCTGATACTTGTATTGAACCATTTCAGACTAATCAGGGGTTTATGACTCACCTGAACAGGTTGAGGGTCTTGTGTTCCAGCATCAGGCTGCTGTTTCCTGTCAGGTCCAGCTCCTGCAGAGTGGCAGGCAGCGAGTCCGGCAGCTGGATCTCCGTCAGCTCATTACAGCTGACATCTACAAGCTACACACGTACAAAACACACATGAGCTGACACAAGCTGATCATAATCATACACAAACTGGTCAGGCAAATAAAAACAGGAGTCTGACCTTGATCTCAGGCAGGTTGAGGATCTCTGGGAAGACGGTGATGTGGTTGGAATGTGCGATGAGGGTGTGCAGTCTCTTACAGCAGGACACAGTGGAGGGGATGGTCTTCAGCTTGTTGCCACTCAGATTTAGCTCCTCCAGCAGCTCCAGCTTGCTCAGCTTACTAAAGACACACACAAACCACAGTGAAATAATCCACAGTTAACAAGTTGAATACAAAATATAGATTATTCTGATTGACATCAAAGCAGAGATGCACTGAACGTTGTTGTGGAAGTTCTTTAGTAATAATGAAGTAGACATAAAGCTTGCAGTCCAAGCAGTGGAGGGAATACATTGAATGTATTTCTATAAAGAAGAAAAACATGTTAGATAATCAACTGCAGTTCATTTTAAATTAACATTCCACTTTGTTTTTAGATTTGTTTTAGGGAGAGAGGGTCGTGTAATTGGTTGCAGTTATAGAGAAATTCTACTTACGGTATATATCTATTGTTTGAATACTATCATACAACAGAATTTCAAATCTCTATGAATGTTTGTGTTTGCTGTCAATTATAGTTCTCAGGAAGAACAACATTTTGAAAAAATGGGAATCAGCAGATCAAAGGTTAAACAAATCTAAATTGGTAATGCACCTGGCGGGGAAGGAGAGCAGCTGGTTGTAGGCGATGTGAAGGACCCGCAGGTTCTGGTGTCCCACCAGCAGAGCACCGCAGTTCTCGTTCAGGTTGTTCCGCGTCAGGTAGAGCTCCTGCAGGGTGCTGAGGCTCTCCTCTGATGGGCTGCTGGGAGGAATACTGTCCAGGGCATTGGCTGAAGCATTTAAGTATTTTAAGCTGTGAGGGAAATAAACACAACAGATATACGAGTTTGAAAACATGAATACAGATATCTACCCTGCCTATTTTATTACAGCTGATTAGTGCATCCAAATACTGTGTACTCTTGATCAACTAAACATTTGAGTGGTCTGAGCCAAGACATTTTTGTAAAACATGTCATTTATGTCCTGGGTTCAGGGAAGTATACATAGTTTGTACCAAATAATACAAATAATCATCAACAAACAAAATAGGAGCCCCTTTCGCTCTCCATGATTCGCCAATTGCATAGTGTTTACAAAGAGCAAAACATCCCTTGTCAGAAAAAATGTATGTCACTTTTTCTTTTATCACAATAATAAATAATATGAGACCCTCTCACTGCACTCCACAAGGGAAAACTCCCCAAAGAAAACCCAACAATTAATGGGGAGAAATGTAAGAAACCTTGGGGAGAGCGACAGAGGAGGAAACCCTCTATTTTGTCTCAATATGTAAATAGACCCCAAGGCAGTGGGGGTCTATTTACATATAAACATTTCGGAGAGCTTAAAAACTGGCTGAGCTCTCTGAAATGTCCATTCTTATTCTGATTGTACTGAAGAGGATAATTCTATAGCCGGAACCGTTAATGTATCACTGCGAGTGAAGCCTTGATTTACATACTGTTGAACCTTCACCAAGAGGAGGGACACTTATATGAGCTGTGCTGGTTCTTATGTAATTGATGTTGTTAAGTCCTTCTGTGCAGATCACTTACTGTAATAAAACCTGTCCTTCTGACACACAAGGGAGTGAACCATTTCACGTTCTTCTTTTAAAACCGAGTCACACATTATTAAAGTGCGATGACATCTCTGCGGCCCATACAGCTCCGCGGTCACAAGGACAGATACAGGACAACATTCCTGCATACTGCAATAACACTTTATAACAAAATCACCCCAGGCTGGCAGAGAACTCACAGCTCCATAGTTCCTCTTGTGTTAACTGGACTTATACATTCACACTGTACATTTATATTTAATTAAATATGCCATTTTTACACTAAATGTAAATAATATCCTAGCCCGTCAATAGTGTTTTATTATTCATAGATTTTACAGATTTGTATCTTCACGGTATGTTTTATATTTTCACTTTTTTATTTCTGTTTTATCTTCTATTTTGAGATGTTTATATTGTATAATTGTTTATTTTCTAATCTTTTTTTATTTCTAATTATGTGAAATACTGTTTTACATGCTGCTGCAACGAAAACATTTCCCAACGTGGGAATAATAAAGTATATCTTGTCTTATCTTTAAATTACAAAACTGTTGACACCTCAGTGGCCTTTTGGCCCATAGGAATGATGTTCCTTATAAAGAAATCAACATAGTTTCTATAGAGATACTGTGTATTGCTTCCATCGTGTGTGTCACCACCTTGCCTTGTAAGCTGTGCAGCTCTTAGACAACATATCATTAAAGCCCATCAAGCACGAAGCATTCACTGCCATCACGTCTCAGCATTAGAGACAGTAAAGTACATTAAGGCATTTGAGCTGCTAATGGGTGTTAAGTGATTTACCACACAGGAAATAGGAAGGCAAATTAAGCTCCAGTTACGTTTGTAATGCTCCGTTGATCTTGACCGCAATCCCTACATAAAATCTATATACCTTATCCACAAAAAAAAAAGAGCTGCGACACAATAACTCTCAAGTGCGTCAAAACAGGTAACACACTGCAGCAGACTGTTTTTGAGCAGAGGAAACAGCTACGGGAGGACACAAGTAATATTATAACTAGTCAGAATGAAATGTAAATGGTTCAAAGAGAAGAGAGGGTTAACAGACTCACTTTAAGGCCTTGGAAAAGAGGCTCTCGGGGAGCTCGGCTAGCTTGTTATGCTGGAGGTCCAGGGCTTCCAGAGGTATGTGGTCAAGTAGGTCAGGCACTCTCTGCAAACGATTGTTCCCCGCCAGCAGCTTTCTCAAACTCAAGCTGTTGAGCAGTCTGTTGGAGGCCAGTAGAGACATTAGAGAGCCAGATTAAGATGAGAAAAAAAGAACAGACCAAAAAAAAGGCAACAAACTAAAGAACATGGCCCTCCGCTGCAGACTCGACTGCTTGCTGCGGGGAATTGTGAGGAATGCCATTCTATGCTAACTAATCCATCAATGACCCTTTCAGCTTGGCTGCCTAAACAGCAGCTTCTTATTCCCTCCAGAAACATCACAGAATTCATAAGCCGCTACAGTGGATGGAGGAATATTATCTCTTTTGCAAAAGCTTTGCTGATGCCTCATTCAAATGCAAATGCAAGTGATGAGTATTGAGGGCTGGCAGCAAAAGATGGGCAAGAACTATTTAACAGTTGCAGCTAAAAAGACACAGATACTCTCTTACTTATGTAAGAGAGTATCTGTGTAGAGTGTAGAGTGTTAGAGACTGATATCAGCAGTTTTGTTCTGCCTTATTCTTTGTATGGTTCATCTATTACTATCTATATGTCCGGCAGTGGCTCAGTCAGTAGGGGCTTGGACTGGGAGCTGTAGGGTCGCTGGTTCAAGTCCCCGACCAGACTTAAAATATGGAGTGTGGACTGCTACTTGGAGAGGTCCCAGTTCACCTCCTGCCCTGCCGTGGTGCCCTTGAGCAAGGCACCGGACACCCCCCTTCCCCCCTCACTCCCCGGGCGCTGTACAATAGCTGCCCACTGTTCCTAATACTAGACTCCTGGTACTAGGATGGGTTAAAAGCAGAGAACACATTTCACTGTGTGTGCTGTGTGCTCTGCATGTGTGACCATTAAAGAGGGTTTCATCCCTCCCAATTCTATTCTATTGTGCTAAATAAGGACATCATGCAGCCAGAATTGGCCTTCTTATTCTGGAAACAAGAGCATCTGTTCATTATTAGAGGCTGAATGTATTAAAATTATGCAAAATGAAAGATAACATTTCAGCAGAAAAGGTTGGGAGTCAGTGCCAGCATAAGGTCACTAACCTAGAAGGCAAATCCGACAGCAGGTTGTGCGTGACGTCCAGCATCTCAACCTTTCTGCAGTCACACACCCAGTCTGGAAGGTACTCCAAAAGGTTCCTGTCTCAACACACACACAGTCACACACATAGAAAGACACACACACAAACACTCAAACTGAGCTGAGTTGGCATTTTGCTTTAAATAATACAAATGAGTACACATTTTGAAACTGAGGTAAATAGAAGGCTAAAATAAAAGTCCTTTAGGGTATCTAAGCAGGCAAATTATCTCTAACTATATTTTCAAGTCAATACTGGAGCCTGACTAGAAAACATTTTGCAGATGTGTCTTACACTCACACGTAGTTTAACAACACAAGGTATATGATTTATTCCCTGACAAACTGCAATGTTTACTGTGTAGAATCAGGCGGCCTGAATCCAGCAGGTTATGAACATTTATCAAAATATAAATGGGAATTTGAAATAGGATGTTTACATTTTCAAATGTTGTACTGATTCAGCCTGAAAGGCGTCGATCCAAGTTAACTCCACTCTAGAGATTCTACAGAATATTTGATTTCTTGTGCCTGGATTATCAAATTGAGTATTCTTTTTTAAAGTTTGTTCAAATATCTGTAAAACAGAAACCATGGTCCATTTCTTATTCCCAGGCAGAACTCACTGTGATAGGTCCATGTGTGTCAGCAGGTTAGGGACTGGATAGATGTTGACAGTCGTAAGGTCTGTGGACAGATAGAAGCCGCAATTAGCACCTGAACCTCTGGCCTGTTCATATATGTGTTTATATGATGAGCGTATCACTAGGGACAAGGGCCTGCACACTCAGACAGTGAGGCTGCTGATGCTCGGTTTGACTCACGGTTGCTGCCGGCATGGAGCATGCGCAGAGTGGAGCCGCTGAGTGTGAGCGTCCCCAGCTGGTTGCGCTCGCAGTGCAGAGTCTCCAGGTTGCAAACGGAGCTCAGGTCTAGTGAGTCCAAGCGATTGTCCCGTAAGTCCAGCTGGGTCACCTGGTTCACTGCCTCTGGACTCTCACTTTTCACCCGCAGAAGCCCATTCAATCTGCATTTAGGGAGCACAAAAGATGACGTATCAGTGGTTGTTCTTACAGGAGCAGCGTAACATCAAATACAATTCTCAATACAATGAAAAAAGTCTGAAATGTCGACATGCTGAAGTTAGAATACTGGTGGAGTGGTTTTTAGCAGCTGCTTGTTTAGTGACAGATTATCAACATACCTCACTGGGAGAATGTCAGCACTATTGTAGAATATAGAAATGTATAATAGTATTAAATGTCTCTAAATCTAAAGTCTGGAATATGACACTGCAGTTTCACCTTTGACTAGAGTAAAGGAGTATTATGGGACCTTTCTAAAGTCTTATACTGTGAGGGGCATGCGGGAACAAATAATAGTACTGTATATTGTAGCAATCTTTAAGGTCAACCAATGTGAATTTAAAAACAGTAGATAAAACTTATTTTAAATGCATCAATCCCTCAGGTTTCATTATGCCATATGTTGAGTTTGTTAAAAGACAAACACAATAAACTGCCTTTGTTTCTCTTGTGAATAACTTTTTTTTTTCTTTTTTTTCAGACCTTTCAACTGATATTTAACATCTTACCTATGTCGACAAAGTTAACAACAAAAAGTTAAACAATATCTAAGTTAAGTTTTGGTTAGGCCCTGCGTTGGGATCCAGACTCTCCCTGACTCATCCAACCTGTTAATAAACAATTCCTCTTTGTTCACGAGTGCTGCCATCCACGCTGCACCTTGCCCTCAAAAATATAGTCTGTCATTGCCAAACGGCAGCTTAACTTCCAAGGTTGAATTATTAGCTGCCTTGCTGTGGGTGGGACAGTGGGATCCTCCGGCGTGTCGGAAAATCAATGAGTAAAGCTTTGCTATCCCTCATTACTCAAGCAAGACACAATTCATAGCTCTTCCTGTGTGCTGAGAGGGCAACACATCTGTATGACAGATGCTCTAGGCAGCTCCCAGGTGTGAAGAAGGGCAGTGCAGAAAATAAACATGTGTGCTCAGCAAACCTGGCATCTAAAAATAAGTGTTTAATATTAAAAAAAGAAGTAATGCTTAGAGTAGTGGTGAAGAAAGGAGGAAAGGCTAAAGGTCAGACTAGTGTATTGTGATTTGTGCTTCTGTCAATGCCAGAGGAGGGAATAAAAAACATTTATAAGGCAGTAAAGAGGCTGAGAGCTGTTTATTCCCTGGCCGGCCTCTTACCGGAGGTCGATGTTTTTCAGGTGGCTCATTCTGGCCAGAGTACACAACTCCAGACTCTCCACTCTGTTCCCAGCCATGGCCAGCTTGTCCACTGCACTCAACCTCTCCAGCACAGCGGGGATGAGAGCAAAGTTGTTAAAGGAGAGTCCCAGGCCGTTCAGCTGCGTCAGGCCACCCAGCTCTTCAGGCAGGGAGCTGAGGCGGTTTCCATCCAAAGACAGCATCTGCAAGCTGCAGGGATAAGTAGAGAAAACAGTCAACGTTCACTTCAAAGAGTGCTCAAAATACATACTTGTGTGGCAGAGCAGCACCCTACGTTAAATAATGTATGTATGATGTAGTATAATTACCCCATGCCGTTAATAACAATTGTGTGGGAACTGTTATGCAAATCCTAAATATTGCATTCAAGTGTAAACATAAAATAATGGACACAAAATATAACATTAAAACAGTGTGTTATGTTTGTATGTAGTATATGTATGTGGGAGTCCCACCTTTGAAGGTTGCCTATCTGTACAGGGACCGTGTGGAGACTGTTACAGGAGAGGTTGAGTTCAGTCAGGGTGAGGATCTCACACACACATTCAGGGAACACACCCAGACGGTTGTGAGACAAGTTCAGGCTCTTCAGCTGAGAAAACCTAAACAGAGAGAACAGAAAGTAGGACCTTCATTCATCATGACATCCTGAAAACAGATGTGCTGTGAAGATTACACAGCGTGATTTACCTAAGATCGACTTAGGTTAGTTTTTGGTTGTTGTTGTTGTTGCTGCTGCTTTCAAATGAGTAACAGAAGGTGACTGTGATGTTGAGAAAGAAAAGTGAAGTGAAAACGCAGGGAGATCACAAATATCTGTATGTGGTCTTGCTGTGGTCCACATTACTCACGGCACTACGTTGTCTGAACAGCTATTTGTTGTACACCGGAAGAACGCAGTGGACAAGGAATGTGAATGAAAAGAAGAATTCTGGTGCAAATTAACTTAAAAGCTGAGCCTGAACACCAGTTACTGAAATCCAGGGTGAACACAGTGGAAACCAAACACTGTAGATCAATTCCCCACGAGTTCACTGTGGGAGTTTTCTGTTGTAATGTATGCCTTTGGCTTGCAGCATCCTATTGAGACTAATTTGAAAGCAGCTAGGTAAAATCAGTCAGTGCCTGGCAGGGCTGGCAAGAAAGGGAAAGCATTCAGATCACACCATTTGTGACTTAGTATTACCAGTTTATGATGTGACCAGATACAATGTCTATACTAAGTGTGTTTGGTCTCAGCTGGCTGTTTCAAATAGAAATACATCCCAGGCATCAATTCTGATGTGTGTGTAATGCATTTGTAAAACGTGTCCAAGAGACTGGGCTGATCAATGAAGTGGTGCCATGCAGGTGCAATAAAATCTTCCACATTAACTCCACCTTCCTGTTGTTCTCCAAGGTGGCGTCACAATACTAGTCAGAGCACAGAATATTTTCTTTATGCATAGAACTTCTTTCCAAGTATACAAACTAAAAGCCTGCAGCAGCACTGGGTGCACAGAGACAATAATAAATGCACATATTTTTCACCGGATTGAAATCACTGTATTCAACACTCACAAGTATTACCTCCTGTGTTCAAAAAACAAACAAACTACAACTTCCGCATAGCGGTGAAACATGCAGTATTGATTCTGTTTTGCAGAAATGTATTAAATGTGTGTGGAAAATGCTTCAGGTTAAGAATGTGTTAATACCTGGGGAGGTTGAGCAGGCCTCCAGGCCCCTGAAGGCTCATGAAGTTGTGTCTTAGGTTGAGGTGGGTGATATCCTGACTGTAAAACAGATATTCAGGCACTGCTTCCAGACTGTAGCAGGACAGGTCCACCAGGCTGACCGTCTGAGCCACCACCTTTACAGGAAGGAAAAATAACAATTAAATCAAAGGGTATTTTTATTATACTTTGGCGGGTCTGAGTCACATCTATAATATCACAACAAGAATCTCATACAGTAGCTAACCTGAACTATCGATGCCCTTTAAACATTTGATGAGAGCCTGTTGCTACCGTGCAGGCTGAGCAAATCTCATTTTATTTTTCCAACATCAAGACAATAAATATCCATTTCTTATTGAAGCCTTGCAAGCCTAAGAGCATTTGAGAAACACAATCAGGCGGGGACCACCTTCAAAGAGGTGAACTACAAGTACAACAAGCAGAAGGCTCCACTATTTAACTAACGTTCACCTGAAGTGATCTGGGACAACAGATAGTGAAAGCAACTGCAGTGGCCTCACATTATGCAAGCAGCCAGCTGCCTTGCCAAAACATTACTTCAGACAGACAATGCCCCAGTTTCCAGTTCAATGAAGTTTATCTGCCAGGGAAACACAGCCATCACGAATTAAGGAATTAAGGAATTAAGAGAGTGATAGAGTTACTCCCTAATATGAGGCAGTTAAAGCCAGCGCTTAGCAAACATGTGTAGACAAACCCAGTTTATTAGGTGCACCTATTTAAACTAATGCCGTCTAATTCAACTGCTCTGGAATAAATCCTACCTTCATTAGGTTATAATCTTTAGTTTAGTCATGGCTTGTACATGTGTGATTTTGTCCAAATTTTAGTATGGTTCATATCTCAGTCCACTCTCTCTGCTGTAACAGTGCAGTTACAAAGCTTTGTCCCACCCTCCATTATCATAGAGGATTGTTTACGGGCCAGCCAACATGGCAGGCGACCCGCAGTGCTCGCAGTCTAGTCTCCTCCACAAACTCCAGGGCTGCACACTGTGCAGTAAACCAGAAAATGGGACGACAGCTCAGCAGAGCGTGACATCACATCACTGCGTTTAGAGATGACAAAGACAAAACTGCCCATCTCCCACAAACTATTCATTCATTCTACAAAAACAACTCCTCTTTAAAAAGTCTAATTAAATTATGTGAAAGCAGGGAGACAACCAAAAACCTGAAGAGGGGTTGAAAGATAATTAAACAGTTGTTCTGTTTTAGATGATTTGCATAGAAAATAAACATTGTGAATCAATGTAATGAATGAAAAACACAAGGAAAGGAGACATGGAAAATAGAAAGCTCTTTGGGAAGGGAATAACAGCTCATTGCATAAATGGAGATACATTGTTTTTTAGCAGTCAATGTGTTCATGTCAGTCCTTGATCGATTACTCAATAGACATGCATTTAGGGTGCAGAATTAACTTATTCATCCATTGGTCAAATGACTAGTTAATTTAACTAGCCACTCAATACATGTGAGTGATGCAAATGTACTATCCATGTGCATATTTTACTTGCACATTTGCATACACCCATGATGTAATCAGAACATTTTTAATTGGACAGAGAAACCAGGAAGCTCTGCTTTTAGGCAGTTGACAAGCTAGTCCAAATAGCAGAGCTGACCACAGCTACACTTCTCAATCGGGTATATATGCATATATATTTACACAGCAGTCATGAGTCACTTTCCCCTTGTTGTGTTCTGTCCTACAAGCACATTTTGCTAGCACAAATGTTCTTGCTGTCTCCCTCACACATGCATGCACACAAGCACACCATTTTTAGGATTTAGGCAATGTAGCATAAACACTGACCCAAATTCACCGAAAACATTCATCAGTCGTCTTCTCCAGTCTCCATAAAGGCCTCATGTCTAAGACTCAGCCTGAGTACAGGCCACTACAGGCTACTTTAAACCGGTAATCCATACCACCATGCTAGAGACAGATCCTTGACTTAGCATGATTCTGCAACTAATTGGATTCCTCTCTTTTTTCTGTTGGCTTTCTCTTCCATTGCTAATTGTACGCTGGCTCTGCCTCGGTGGAGGCTCTCACAGAAGCTGTTCAGCTCCAGGAAGGAGCAGCAGTACAGTAGCCATTAATTAGGATATTAGAGACAAAGCCAGCTGAGCAGAACAGAAACAATGGATGTTTTGAAGAACAGCAGTGACAACCTGGCAAGATGATGAAAGACACACAGTATAACACCAAAACAGAATGTGTTGGGTCATTTAGCCTCCTCTAATCCACAGTGACTTTTAGAACAAAACCTCTACTGGTAAGGGCCTTTGTAAAAATAAATCGAAGAGCCCTCTGATAGAAGTAGAAAATATAAACTTTGTGAGTAGAGTTACGTTGTTCAATCGATGTCAGACACCGCTGAGAGTCTTCCTCTGTGGAGCAAATCAGACGCATTCAGAGAGGCGGTTTCTGATTGGAAGACTCAACCGGCAGAAGGCAACTGTAGTCCCAACAGTTAATCTCTGATTCAAGCTGAAACCCAGCGGCACTAAGGCAAACAAACAAACTGCTGCAGAAAGAAAACACATATTGTGTCACGCACACCAGGTAACACAAACTCTTTGTCTCTAACTTACTTTGGATGCCTGCCGATGCCATCGCTGGTAGTCTGCGAGTGTGTCAAAGTTGACAAAGTACGTCTGGGCCTGTGATCCGGCTGAGCTGAACATCAGGCAGTGCTGCCTCCGCCTCACCTCCTCCACCTCAATACAAAGACAATACACAGATACGATAAGGAGGAACACTGGGAGACAAAACACAAACGGAACATGATGATTATCATTACTGATTATTGCAATGATATTAGTAAAGGAAAAACTAAATGTTCTGACATTATAACATAGTAATATATTATTCAGAGTCATTTGGCTTATTGTTATTCTCATATTTTTTACTTACATTTGCTAGAAATACCTTTTATTTCTTAAAGTGGACCTATAATGCTATATTTGAAACATATATTGTAGGGCCATACCAATATAAAACGTGTCTGTGAAGTTTTTTTTTCAAAATACCAAACAGATCATGCATTTTTGCCATGCCTCATTTCGCTCTAATTGCTCTATTCCAGCCCTGTTTTTGCAAGGGCTGATTTTGCTTTTGTGGCAGACCACAGCGCCACTTACAGGCCTGGCATATGTACTACAGCGTCTCCAGCGCTTTCGAGCGGCAATGGCCGTGGCCCAACCCCCCATTCCCCTGATAGGTGGAGAGTTGCCCATATAGGCGGAGCACCCCTTTTTTGACGTCAGAAACATTCAAATAATAATCAGCTCCGTTGCAGCCCCGTTTTTAGAGATTTGGGTATGGAGGAAAAGAGAGAGGGTTGTGTTTTCTGACACTTGGTGAGTTCCCTGACACACCGGGGACACATATTCATGTACAGTATAAAAGACGTACAAAGGTGCATTTTGCATGATAGGTCCCCTTTAAGTTCAAACCTGTTCCCTTAAGCGAGTAAGTTAGCTCGAGAAAGAAACGGCAATAATAAAAGTATTTGAACGAATGAATTGTAACTGCACAACTGAGGTTTACCCTTAAAGATCCCTTCAGCACAGCTTCTTTTTTCTACGATAATTTCATTGATGAGTCAAAATGTTGCCCTCATCTAACAGGTGATACAAGGTGTCAGCAAATACGGCAAACGAGTGTAACTGTGTTTCATTAACATAGCTTGTACAATTCCAACCAGGCCATAATATCGCCCTGCTTTTGTTTTGTTATTTGAGATATAGTGGATTTCTGTGTGCAAGTAGTAATGTGTTCAACGAATCTGCACTGTCCATGGCTTTTAAGCTCTTAACTATTTTCCATTGAAGGCCAGGAGTAAATAAACTCAAACAAATGAATTGACTTCCTGTCTTTGGAACAATGTAATACTGAAATCTGCAGCTCAATTTCTTTAGGTGTATATGTTCTGTGTCCTACAAAGCACACAGTTGAGATGCAGTGCTTAAGATGATAGAGTCTGCCAGCAGTGATACGTCATCTATTTACTGGAGAGATGTATCCAGCTCTCCGAACCAGCTGTCTTGTTCCAGTGTGTCTACAGCCCAGCTTCTCTGATGTCCAAACACTGAACCCTCACCTTGCCCCCCACCAGGGGCAGGATGTGCATCTTCCCAGTCAGGCAGTCTTTGACGGAGGCCACGATTAGACAGGTGCCGCAGAGGATGACCTGCCGCTCTGCCCACTTGTGCAGCTGCGACTTGCCCTTCCTGACGCTGAATATGCCTTTCAGCAGGGTGCGCTCCTGCTGGTCTGCATTCACAGGACGCTCTGGAGGGAGAAGCCCACACACAGAGAGAGAGAGAGAGAGAGAAAGAGAGAGAGAGGTTAGTTTAGATCTTCAGACATCCATCTTCTGCAAAATAACCCCCAAGCCTCCTGTGAGAAAGACATTCAGTTAATTAAAAGCAAATGTTCTGCAGTTACACACTTATGAGGGAAGCTTCCAGAAAATGAAGTCATACAGATGCTCACAGGTCAGCATGATATCACCTATATGTTGTCATTCCAGGAACTGAGCTTACATCAGCATTTTGGATGGACACTACCCTATTATCTCACACCCTGTACATCTGGATAGATTTCATGACATGATAACAAGTTTGATCTTCAGGGTGACGGTAAGAAAGGTTCACCATTAAACTTCTTTATTATAAATCATTATTATATTGAGGAGGTTTCTGCTATTACTGGACCAAACCCAGACCTCCATATTTTTGTTGGGGTATTCAGTGGGATACAGGTCGGTTTGGATTTAGTAGTTTTCAAACCTACAAAGGACTTCATCTCTTTCTCTCTAGCTGTACCAATCCTTTGTTTTTTGTTTGTGTTGCAAGTAGATACACAATGCCCAGTGAACAGTGAGGAAAAGATGGTCATGCAAGGGGGCCTATTTTAAATGTTTCTTTAATTTTTGAAAACACACATTACTGTCAAGTGAATCCAATGTTTATTTAGCAAAATCGGCCAATTTGGTTAAAAGGTGTCGGTTTTTGGCCTACACTGAAGAAAGATGCATCTCAAGTAAAGGTGCAGCTACAGGCTCACCCTAAGTCCAGCTCTCAATTTATCTTCACATTTAAGGATCCAAGCGCTTTACTTCTCCCTTTAATTCTTCCTCCCTCACTTTATATAAATCAACACGCCAGTGCCGTCCGTCCATCCATCCATCCATCACTCTTTTGCTGTCTTCACCTGGCAGAAGCATCAGTCTTATCGTTAATGACTCAGGGTTTTGTCAAGTGTTGCTCTTTTCAAATAAATTGTTCCAGTCTGCACGGCAGGCATCTGGAGCTGGCCTGTGCTGAAGGACACAGCAGACAGCAGGGATGTTGTCTCTGCCAGGCGTCAAGTACACTCAGGATTATGAAAGGTCAAAACAGCACAGAAGAGACACTGCCTCGGCCTCTTGTCCTCTGTTGTTACATTTTCCTTAAACCAACTTATGCCGCATCCCACTCAGAAGCTCTTATTGGCAATCTGCTCTCTCTCCCTCGTTCTGTATGACTCGCTCTTCCTCTCCATCTTCCCTTTCGCTTTGCAAGGGCATCCAAATTAAAGGCTGTCTATTTCTTTTTTTTTACCAGTGAAACATATAACAAACAAGCCAAGTGCTTCTGACAACAAATTGGCTGGCTGGCAGATCAATAGAGTGACTGATCCTTGGGTGTCTCCTCACTCAAAGAGAGAACATTGGAGACACAATCCCTTACAGGGTCAGCGGTGGGTAATAAGAGCTATGAGAAAGGGCCGGGGGAAACACCTGGACATGGAGCTGGTTAGGGACCACAATGCTTCTTACTCACGCACTGTAATGTGTCTGTAGCACTAAAGGCTTAAAGGCTGCATTGAATGTTTTCTCAGATTCGTATTCTTCTTTACATTATTGTTGACACTGAATTTCTATCAAAGTTTTTAAGACTTTATTGTATTGAGGCAAAGCTTTCGTTTAAGTGCTTGTGTCAAGTCTTTTAAAACATTAAAGGTGGGGTAGGTAATTTTGGAGAAACCGGCTCGAGATACACTTTTTGTTATATTCCATGGAATGCTCTTAACATCCCGATAGCAATGAATATCTTAAGTGCTTTGACAAAAAATCCATCTGTGCCCTCATTGGTCATGTGGGCGTTCGTGTGTGTTGGAGGAGGGGCTCTATAAGGAAGTAGCAGATTTCTTCCGGCTGTGTCTTTTCAAATTCTAGCACACTCGAGCTGGTTTCTCCAAAATTACCTACCCCACCTTTAAGCTTATTTTGTAAAATGAAAAAATAAATGCTTTTTTTTTTGTGTTCCTCCAAGAAAGATGTTAAAAAATATGGAGTGTCTATTTGCACCCGAATGAAAATGCTGCGGCCTTTTTGTGCTGATGGAAAGTACTGTTTTTAAAAGCACAGATTTTAAAAGTGCCTTTTTATTATGTGTTTCTTTGTGGGTTCAACTTAAAACCTGAAATTATTAGTAAAATGAATTTCTACTGTATATTGTAAATGAATGTGTAATTGTGTCTTTCAGAATGCTGAAGCCCTGCCAAAAGACGCAGCTCCTGCCAGCGTCCAGCAGGACCACATGAAGAGCCTCAGGGGGGTCTGTGGGACATTTATCACCTTACAGCCATGTTCACAATATAACAGTGTCACAATCCTAATGTCATGTCATGTTTTTAGTTTAGTCTGTCTTGGGTGTTATTTTGCTGTTCCGTTCCCACCTGTGTCTTGTTATCCTGTCGTTAGTTTCCCTGGTGTGTCTGATTGTCTAATTGTGTTCACCTGTTGCCCTTGTGTTTCTGCCTCCCCTGCCCGGCTGTTTCTTGTCTCGTGATTACCACTCCCTGTATTTAGTCTTGTCTCTTCCTGTGTGCCCCTGTCGGTTCATTGTTTGATTGTCCTCCCTTCACATCATGTTTCTTGGTTGTCTCTCCGGTCTTCCTCCATGTTTCTCACGGTCAGTTTTTGTGTAGTTGTTTTCTGTTACCGTTTCAAGTTATGCCATGTTTTGTTAATCGGCTTTTAAATAAAGCTCGCTTTTGTTTCAAGACCTTTTTCCGTTTTTTGTAGTCTGCTTTTGGGTCCTACCTTTTTCCACGATTCCTAACAACAGGTGTTCTTTGTCCCTGATGTTCAGTTAACCTTACCAAGCAATCGTAGAAAGAGCAAGAAGAGATGCATACAGTACAACACCCGGGTGTAAATAGCTACAGTGCTTAAGATAAGAAGTGCCTTTATACATCCACCATAGGGGAATACAATTTGACGCAGCAGCACAAGAGAATTAAGTTATCAAAGAAACATTTCCATAAATACCTATACATCCAAAACAGTATCTAAGGTGTAGCCCGGGTGTAAATAGCATTGTTAGCTACGGACACCCGGGTGTAAATAGCATCGTTAGCTACTGACACCCGGGTGTAAATAGCAATGTTAGCTACTGACACCCGGGTGTAAATAGCATTGTTAGCTACGGACACCCGGGTGTAAATAGCATTGTTAGCTACGAACACCCGGGTGTAAATAGCATTGTTAGCTACTGACACCCGAATGTAAATAGCATTGTTAGCTACTGACACCCGGGTGTAAATAGCATTGTTAGCTACTGACACCCGGACGCAAACAGCATCTTCCTTACTTTATTCA